TGCAGGTGGTCGTCAAAACTGTTTTTATACCAAGCTGAATTGTGCGTCTCAATACTTGTTTTTTGCTTTTTTTTATCGAAAAGATCAGATATGTTGCCATGTTTCTTAAAGAAGATAATTGAAGTAATAATTCCTACATATATTGATGGTTTTCGACGCATACCATTCTGGCAAAAACAGAGGATCCGACTCATGCTATAAATATACTATTATACTCAATTAAAGTCGCTTAATAATGATGTTAATGACATCCAAGTTTACTTATAAGGGAAAAGATTAGATAGGAAATTTTGTTTACAGACAAAAAGGGTTTTTTTTTGTTATCTTTCATTAAAACCAAGTTTTAAGATCGCAAATACGTTACATTTGTCATACAACTATCATTGTCCACGCTAAAAATAATAGAAACATGGAATTTCTGATGATAAAATGTTCAAAGTAACTGCTTGATACCTGTTTAGAAAATGCGTCACTCGACCATATACGTCGCTGGTTAAAAAAAATGTAACTGTTAGAGTCTTGATTCAAACACTGTCAAATGCAGAATCTTACAGAGTGTTCCATTTGAGCAGAATTGTGATGATAACATTATTACCCGGATGTAAACTACCTGGCATTTACACACTACCGATAAAGAAAAACTAACTTTATGAATAAGACTTATCATAAGACATGTACTTTTCACTGTCAACATGTTTTGTGGTACATATAGAGAAGAATCTGTTTCTAATATTCTATTTACCCATTTTGCATTTGTGAGTTACAGTCGGTTGTACTCAAAACTAAATGGAAATGTTAATAGCTCGTTAATAGTTTAGATTCATGAGAAATATAGTTTCTACCTCCCTTTTTTGTTTGCGAGTGACAATGGCACAATTGGATATTACTTAAAAGCAATAAATTGTCCTTCGTAAACTTTCAGATTTATCTTTTTAAAATATTAAAGCATTCTAGAAGCTTGTAAAGCTATTTCTCTAGTGTTTAAATGACATAAGGTAAATTATTTCAGAAATGTAGTTATGTTCATGAAACATTTAGCTCAATTAGTTTATTACAATACCTTGAACGAGTAAAAATGATTATTCATCGGAAGAGTTAATATTCTTTTCATTAGGTAAATCATATAAACCAGATGTTACGTTATCTATACTCAAATTGTTTATTATATGGGACTTTGAATTAACAATCTTCAGACAATATGTTTAGCGAAAGTCATATCACGGCAAATGTCTGCCTATTGAAGCCGTTTAACCAAATGATATATATCGTGTCCAATATAATATATTGTCTTTATCATGTATGAAATATAACCCACTAAATATAACAGCCAACAAACTATAAATCAATTAAATATGACAAGTATAAATCACATGCAATTTAACGGTTATTTTAGCTGCATTTTGAAAATCAACTGTGACTTTGACGGAAAATCATCAGCAGCTTCGTAGTAAATAGTGCTCGTCCTATTCAATCATAACATTTTCACACCCGAGGTGTACATAAACAATGGGAATTACTTTAATTTTATTTTGCACGAATTAAACAAATAATTATACAACCAACCCTGACCTAAAAATATAACTAATTTACTATGCAGCTATATAGATTTACACAATAAAGTGCAAATATGGTCAGTTTTTATTGATGCGGTCAAACAATTCTGTTATACGAGTCAGTCTGAGGTATCAGAACTAGTGAAATTTATTTATGATTCAATATTTTGAATAAAAAGAGGACATGCTGGCACTCTTAATTGATGCGGACACACTTTTGTAGTCATTGTGTTCCAATATTGCTGTCATCTTAATTTTACAATCCATCCTGACATAAAAATAGTACTGATTGACTATGTGACTATAAGATTTACATAATAAAGTGCAAATATTGTCAGTTTTGGTTGATGCGGTCAAATAATTTTGTTATACAAGTCAGCCTGAGGTATCAAAACTACTGAATTTTTTTACGATTCAATCTTTTGAACAAAAAGAGGACATGCTGGCACTCTATATTGATATATTCAAAAGTTGAGAAAATAAAATTCGTACTTAAAATTCCGATTTTAGGTTATTTAAATCATTTCCAATTATAAAAAGAGAAATTTGGTCTGTTTTAAGTTATTTTTCTTCTTATATTGTGCTATTACACTAATGTCCAAGGTCAAGAGGATAGACAGTGCTACCACAAATATGTTTAATCCGCCAAAGCCAGGATTCTCTTGTCGTTTATTGCCGATTATCATATTTGTTTTTCGTTTATTGGTATGCGCATATACATTGTAGATCTTTTATCATGTTTATAGTTATATATGCCGTATGAGTTTTGCTCATTGTTGAAGGCCATACTGTGATCTATAGTTACTTCCCTTCACTGTCATTTTGTGTGGAGCTGTCTTATTGGTATAATATCACATTGTCATATTTTGATATAACTAAATCTAACAAAGACATCAGCACAAAGGTTTGTACATTGTTGTAGTAGAGTATAGTAAAACGTAATGAAAAATACACTCTCTCGTATAAGAAAAAAGGAAAATGAGGATGTTAAATTTGATGTATGCCTTTTTATGCTTCTTTGTTACATTTCTTTGTTTTTATAGTGATTAAGATGATAACACAATGTTGACTGTTGTACCCCTATTTTTGACACTTTACCTATTGTGTCTGTTTGTTTTGTTCACGTATCGTTCTCAATATAATGGAATTTGATGCGACTATCATACAAATGAGAGGTTTAGCTAGTTATAAAACCAGGTTCAATCCACCATTTTCTACATAAGAAAATGCCTGTACTAAGTCAGGATTATGACAGTTGTTATCCATTCGTTTGATGTGTTTGAGTTTTTGATTTTGCCATTTAATTAGGGACTGTCCTTTTTGAATTTTCCTCGGAGTTCAGTATTTTTGTGATTTTACTTTTTTCGATAAAGTACAAATGAAGTAAAATATAGATACAAGTGTGTAAAAAATAAAAACAATACCAAAAACAAAACTTCATTCATCCGAATCGCACCTTTCGACCCGGCTGCATCTGAAACGTCCAAAATCAAAAAACATGAAGTCTGGTAGCATAACAACCGAGTCACGTAAACGAGTCATATGACCAAAAGGAACCTGAAAGAACAATGACAAATAGAAACTTCAGTTGCTTTCCTTAATATAAGTAAAGGCACGGTTTGTCACATCCTTGATTGTTTTAACAAGAGAACTAAAAATGAGGTCGAAGATAATATAGGAACAAACAAAACTCCTCAGTCAATAAGAGACCGAAAAAACAATTACAGAAAAACAGAAACGAAGAAACGACAAACACCAATCCACAGAGCGGCGTATAAATGAAAAACAAATAATGCCTGTGTCACATGAACCCACCAAAAAATTTATAATTAAGCATGACAAACACAGGATATCCCATTAAATTTAATGTCATATTGGTGTAAATATATATGCAAGCTTTTTCTGCACGATAGGATGAATTTATTATTAACAGCAACCAAGTAATGTATGTTAACATAGCGAACGATATATCGACAATTTCACTCTAAAACCTCTTTTTAAGAGTCTAACAACTACTAGTATTATTTTTCAGTAAAAAAGATTTTGAATTACTTTTGAAAAGATAGAGTATGTTAGCAATTATGTTATTTTAAGTGCCAGTCTTTGTAAGAATCAGGCAATTTTGAAAAAAAAATATTGCAGAAAATACCACAGACCTTACCATCCTATTTTGAAGTTATCCTTGTCCTGAGTTAGAAATGGTAGGTCTCTAGATGAACTTAGGTTAGAGTGATAGAAATTTACGGAGTTAGCTACCCTTAAAAGAGGGGCGAAAGATACAAGAGGGACAGTCAAACTCGTAGATCGAAAATAAACTGACAACGCCATGGCCAAATAATAAAAAGACAAACAGACAAATAATAGTACACACGACACAACATAGAAAAATAAAGACTAAGCATTACGAACCCCACCAAAAACTGGGTGTGATCTCAGGTGCCCCGGAAGGGTAAGCAGATCCTGCTCCACATGTGGCACCCGTCGTATTGCTCCTGTTATTACAAATCCGGTAAATATTCTAATTCGGTAGGTCACATTCGTGATGAAAAAGGAAGTGGATTGTAGTTACGACATAAGGAACATATCTGATATCATCTGTGAAACGGTTATTCCATAACGGTCAACCAACTCGTGATGGCGTCCGTAAAATTTACAAAAGGATGATTTCAACTTCACCATTTGGAACTCTTGGTTTGATAGCTTCCTTGTGAGCAGCAACCCTCTATCAAGAAAATCATGATAGGAAATACAAGCCCGGGAATATCGTATCGATTGGGAGATATATACTCCGTATGCAGGCGCTGCTGGAATGTTGCTACATAGAAATGGAAAGTTCACAATTGGGAAGCTGAAATCATCTCTTTTGTCGTAAAGTTTTGTTTTCAACCGACCCTCATTGACAATTTCTAGATGTAAGTCAAGATATGAGGCAGACTTAATTGTATCTGTTGTATACTTTATCTCTAGTTCGATTGGATAGATGCGTTCAACATAGTCACTAAATTTTGAATTATTTAGTGAGGAAGCATCATCTATATAGCGGTAAGTAAAGTTAAAGGATACTGCTAACTACTTATTTTCTTCATAAGAAGTTCCTGTATGAAGTCAGCTTCATAATAATAAAGAAACACGTCGGCAAGAAGAGGGGCACAGTTGGTTCCCAACTTGGAATGCCGACAGTCTGTTAATTGTTAATGTTTAGTTCATTTCAACACAATTATATTGAAATACACAGGAAAAATTGCAACATATGTTTTTCATATGTTTTCAAAACATATGAAAAACATATGATTTTCATATGTTTTTCATATGTTTGTCCCAAACATATGAAAACATATGGAAGCAAACATATGTTTTCATATGTTTTATAAAATATGTTTACATATGTTTGTAAACATATGAAAAACATATGATTTTCATATGTTTTCATATGTTTTAAAGGATATTAAAAAAAAATGTTTTGAGAAAATGTCAAAATTTGTCATTTAATTATCACATACATTTTTTCATTTATTATCTATATAGCGTATTTCTCAAACAGGAAAGTTCACTTTCTACTCTTCCTACTAAATCCCACATGATGATGATGAAAGCATGTCAGCCCTGTCAGTGTCAACCCCACAGCAGAGCTATCTAATTTTGAATTGAACAGAATGTAAAATAAGTGAATTAGTTATAAATATTAAATAATAATATGAATAAATATTCTTTATTTAGTTTGTTCTTTATTCTCTTTTTTTTTTATTAATAATCCCATTATTCTCTATGATTCTTTATTCTATATTTCTGCTTTTTTTACTATCTGTTCTTTATTTTGCACTTTTTGTCATTATTTTTTATTCTTAAACCCCCATCTTGATTCCAGACCCTCAAATATACGTAAATGTACGAAAGCTTGCATGGTACGTCGAACACAAAAACCCGGAAATCTTTTCACCGTTATCGTTTTTTATACTATGACGCAAAATCCATGGACGCTCACGCGAGCATCTGTTGCTGTTTTTTTAAAAAGTTTTTTAGAATGGACAGAGATAGATGATACAAGGAACTTTGGTTTTTCAAACTGGTGAATCAAAAATATATTATAAACAGATAAATTGGAATGGGTGACTTGTCGATTAACTTGAAGAAACCGGGGAACGAAACATAGAAAATTTATGAAACGAAAGTCAAAGTGTTTTTGTTTTGATGGATAATTTTACGTACCCTAAAAGCGCAACGAAAGGTAAATATTATTATGCACATTTTGTTTAATTATTGGATTAAAGCAGGAAGATGTGTGTGCTTTATTTTTCCCGAAAAACTATTTGACTATATATACATATTTGTAAACCTGAGAACGATATTGGACCCCCCCCCTCCCCCCCCCCCCCCCCATATTGTAATATAAATATAATTGCATTGGGTAATCCGTTTCATTATCTATTTATATTTCATATCATAATGAGGATATTACAAGATTTAGACACAAATACATCCCAAATAACCATATAATTTGTAAGCCCTTAGACAATAAGACAAACTTGGAAAAAGGGGGGGGAGGGGGGGGGGCATCATATACAAGGGGGGGGGGGGGACATCATATACTTGATGTAATGTATTGAAATTGTTTATCTAATGTCACAACAGAACTTAATTACTTTAACTGATGCAGACCTGTATATCTTATGATACATGTGTGGTATTTGTATTTGTTTATCAGTTGTTTTAAAACCATGAAATTGTAGACGACTTTATCATCTCTCTTGAAATTAATAGCTATTTTACACTTAATAGATGGGGGTGCCCCTGGGGATCAATTACTCCCCCCTTTTCATATAATTTAGATTTAAAAAATGTATATACCTTTTCATACATCGCGTAGGTAATAATGTACATGTAACCTTTTCCTAATTTTAATTATGAGTGATTCCAGAACATGCAGGAGCGGACAAGAATCACATTCCGGATTTACCGAGAAAATCATCACATTTGATTAAAGCTCAAATTCCTTATTTTATGTTAACTTAAGGCAAAACGAGACTTGCAACTACACAAATGTAAGAAAATTACAGGGCTTTGCATATGAGAGGGGGGTAGGACCTTTATCGGGACTCCGGGATCAGGTGTTTTTAAGCTCGGGATTTCGGGATTGATTCTTTCAGGATCTGGGAATTCTTTTTTGGAATTTCAGGATGTCAGGATTTAATTTTTTTTAAATTCGGGACCTCGAGATTCCATGTTTTTAAGCCCGCGATTTCGGGATCAGGACCCCTCCTTATCCTTTTTCCACACCTATTCACATATTTTTAAGCTGAAAAATATGACCCAGGCTATTACAGCGGCAGGTCTTATCACCTTGTACATTATAAGAAGTGGACCCTAGAGTGCATGAATGGTCTACTTTACATCTACTTAAATGTGAATATAAAAATAAGAAGATGTGGTAAGATTGCAAATGAGAAGAGTCCAATTCTCCACAAGAGATCAAATGACATAGAAGTTAACAAGTATAAGTTATGGTACAAGATGACTTCAACAATGAACAAAGCCCATACCAGAAAGTCAGCTATAAAAGACATTTAATGGAAATGACAAATGTAAAACAATGCAAATGAGGAAACTAACAGACTGTTAATGATTTATAAACAAAACAAGGAACAAATAAACAAATATGATATACAGCAACAAGAAACAGGGCAAGTCTAGATCTGTTGTTCTTGTTTTAAAAGATCAAAATAAGCCAATTTCGCCATATAAAAATATTTAAGGCAATTTGGCAGATATATTGTAACTTCAATCATTTTATTATACATTTGAACATGTTATACATTATTTCTTTCAGCATTTTCAACAAAAGTACATTTTGTACATGTACTTCAACAGAACAGAATTCATTTGAGGCCTTGCTTTCTAGATTATATAATGGATTCATAGATTGTCATATTGATTTATGTGCATAAAAGGAGCAGTAGTCAATGAATAATTTTGTGATGAGAGGTATGTAATGAAGAGGATAACTTTGTTTAAATATTTTGTTGTTGTCAGACTCTGTATACATGTTGCAAGTTTTGAGGTCATAGACATGATAGAGTTGAAAGTTTTGATTCTTGTTGTGGGCTATTTCTATAAGCAGTGACAAATTTTTTTTTTACAGGTCAATTTTATAGAAAATAGGATTGGAAGCTCTATTAACACTTCATTGCTTGTTCTTTTTTTGTCTTGCAACAACAGTCATGAAGGTGAGTCTTGGGCATGCTGTTTTTAACAGAGGCGAAGTCATAAACAATTTGTTAAAAATTGAGATTAGGTCAGTTTACATTTCCATTTCCATTGAGATTATATGGTCCAAATCCCTCAGTCATGGTTGATTGACTTTGATATTTTTACTTAACTTAAATGTGAAAAGTTTCTGATTAGGTCAGTTTGAGTGAACCAATAATGATAAATCATTGATATTTGGTATATGTCAGCTAGAGTACTAGTACATTTCATATTGTTTTTATTTTGCCCGGCCCCTCAGTCATGGTCTATTGATTTTGAAACTTTGTCAAGTCATGGATGGTGTGTGACTTTGGATGTTAAAGCATTGTCATTTGAAATCAACTAACAGGATTTCATACAGAGAAGACATACTTCTATGTCTAAAGTTTATTCATATAATATTAATGTATACCAAAGGTTTATTAAATACCAGTAATATCTTGGATAAATTATTTATACAGGAATTACTTCATTTTGAAATGTAAATTCTATGGAAGATAACCAGTAAAGCACCGTTATGGTTGCATTTTTTGTCAGATATTTTTGTTATTCATACCATAGGTCTATACCAGCATGGTCTTTTAGTTTTATGAGTTAGAAAATAAGTGCTGATCAAATATGTTCACAGTAGTTATACCTCTTGGAAATAGATATTGTTAGAAAAACTGCATTGCAAGCAATCCCACACATGTCTTCATTTCTTTTAGATTATTTATAATTTATGAAAAAGGTTAAAAGAACATACATATTTTTTGCTTTTTGACAGCAAATTTTATATATCCATCAATTGGCAAGGTACATTGAAGCGCTGTTCTTTTATTAAATGCATGAAGTATGGATGGTAACACAAATGACAACATATGTTCATGAGTTAATATTGCCTTGTCTGAAAATAGTATACGCGAAGTACTAACATTGAACTATGGTAACGTTGTAACCCTAATGCTGTAGTGAATGACGTTATTGTATAGATTTCATAGCTACAACAACGATTAAACGTACATTGCAATCATAAGTATTTATTGAGATTCCACAACATGCCTATAAATGGTGTATTCAAACAATTTTGCTTATGTAAGAGGAAATCAAGATTTAATAAACATCAAGAGTTAATGCCTAATTGTTGTTTTTTATACGACCGCAAAAAAATTTGGTATGACGTTGGCGTCCGGCGTCGTCTTCGTCGTCCGAAGACACATTGGTTTTCGCACTCTAACTTTAGTTTAAGTGAATGGATCTCTATGAAATTTTACCATAAGGTTTAATACCACAAAAGGAAGGTTGGGATTGATTTTGGGGGTTATGGAACCAACAGTTAAGGAAAAAGGGGCCAAAAATAAGCATTTTTGTACCTTCCAGACATAACTTGTGTGTTAGTGTATGGATCTCTCTGACATTGTACCACAAGGTTCCATATCACACAGGGAATGCTGGGATTGATTTTGGGGGGTAATTACCTCAAAATATTAGGAATTAGGGGCCAAAAAAGGGGCAAAAAACAAGCATTTTTCTAGTTTCATGACAATAACTTGTGTGTAAGTGTATGGATCTTTCTGAAATTGTACTACAAGGTTCCATATCACAAAGGGAAAGCTGGAATTGAGTTTTGGGGAAATTGCCCAAAACGTTTAGGAATAAGGGGCCAAAAATAAGCATTTTTCTAGTTTCCAGACAATTACTTGTGTTCAAGTGTATGGATCTCTGAAATTGCACTGCAAGGTACCATACCACAAAGGGAAAGCTGGGATTGATTTTGGGGGTAATTGCCTCAAAATTTTTGGAATAAGGGGCAAAAAAGGGGCAAAAAAGAAGCATTTTTCTAGTTTCAGGACAATAACTTGTGTGTAAGTGTATGGATCTTTATGAAATTGTACTACAAGGTTCCATTTCACAAAGGGAAAGCTGGGTTTGAGTTTGTGGGTAATTGCTCTAAATGTTTAGGAATTTGGGACCAAAAAGGGGCATAAAAACAAGCATTTTTCTAGTTTCCAAACAATAACTTGTGTTCAAGTGTATGGATCTCTCTGAAATTGTACTGCAAGGTACCATACCACAAAGGGATGGCTGGTATTGAGTTTGGGGGTGATGAATCATAAAGGGGTTCAAAAAATTTGGGGGAGGGATTTTTTTTTCCTTTTTTCCTATTTTTTCTTTAAAATTTTCCATTTTAAATTGGTTATTTCTGATTTATATATATAAAACAAATAATAATGATATGGTTTGAATAGGTAAATTAAAAAAAATTAAGTTCTTAGACCACATTCATTCTGTGTCAGAAACCTATGTTGTGTCAAATATTTAATCACAATCCAAATTCAGTGCTGTATCAAGCTTGAATGTTGTGTCCATACTTGCACCAACTGTTCATGGTTCGACCTCTGCGGTCGTATCAAGCTGCGCCAGCGGAGCATTTTATTTTAAACTGTAGACAGCAGAATTAATAGATGATTTTATATTAGAAAAAGTTCATACTATACTAAGACGGGCTTAGGCTATACATATATTAATAATATTAGCTACACTGTTGATCTTTTTGTTGTTTGTTACATATTGTTTCCATTCACTCAAAAGTAAAAATATAAATTAGTGACTCTGAGCATCAGTTCATACTTCATCTACAAAAATGATCTAGTTTTTGTCTGCAGTTCTGGATTAAATTAAGATTTACAATTTCAGCTTATTACCATGGTTACCAAATGAAAGGAAAGTGCAATATTAGAATCACTGGTGTACATGTAGATGCGGTTGTCCGGCAAAAAGAACTGGTATCAAAGTAAGTTCATCTGTAGAATTGCAGTTAATTTAAATAATTTAATGTTATCTATTTAAACCTTTATCAAGTGTAATTTTACATGTTACGGCATGTATACTGTTGTTTATTTATGTCTTTCTGATGTCAAGTATGCATCAAGGAATCCTTGTCCTGTTCTCCTTCTTCTGCTCCACACACACACACGCATGAGATGTCAGGAGTTCAAATAATTATAGCATTTGCTTATATTATGAATTGTATATTTAAAAGTTGTTCTCGTCTTGAATATACATACATTGTAAAATATTTGCCACTGAACATTAAAATAAGCAAGAAAAATCAATCGATTATTGTTTTTGCATTATAGGAATGAGTTTTCTAACATACTTGTATAACAATTGAATAATTTCCTTTTAAGCTTTTTTTATGAACCAGCATATAAATATAACATGTATAAGGAGATGAGGTACATGTATGATTCTCAATGTGACAACTATCAATTAAAAAAACAAAGGATGAAGATGTAAACATTTGCTGGTCACTGTACAACAATAAACAATGATCAAAATCCATACCATAAAGTAACCTATTATGGCTATACATGTAACTTGTATAAGGATGAAAAAAATAAAACTACACACAGTATGGCAGACAGCACCCAACATAAGAACCAAATGTCAGAATCAGCCAGAAAGGGCTGGACTCATCAACAAGCACTTAAAAAGAAATAACAAAATAATAAAAGATGCAAAAATTATGTTTTCCAAAACTAAAATATCTATCAGTTCACCTTCGACAGATTTAATCAATTAATGTAACAACAAAACATTTGTCATTTCAAACAGTCTAAGAAAGCATGACTTTGTGTAATGCCAAAATATTGAACACACAAGAATATGTAGGACCATAACAGCATATAAGTATTTATAATTGCTTAGAATTTCAATATCTGAAATACATGTTCTGCTTTTTGTCAAGCTTGTTCAAATTTATTTCACGAAAGCGAGACAGTGATCCTTGATTCTGCCAGAGGCGGCGTCGCTGTCCTAAAATTTAAGTTCAGTCTGAGGTTAAATTTTTTTTGAACATCGATAACTTTGTCAAACAGACATGGGATTTTGTGAAATTGAGACAGAATATTCGAAGCTTCTTAATGACCAAACTACAGTATCCAAGGCAAAATTTTGAAAATATTCTTTTTCATTTTTCTGTATTTCAACTAATAAATGGGCTTAGTTTTTTTTATGAGCTTGCGACTTCCGTTGCAGAAAGCTCGACATAGAGATATTGATCAGGCGGCTGCGTCCATGGTGGGCTTAACAAATTTCTTAAAATCTTTATATTTTAGAAGGTGGAAGACACGGATGCTTCATACTATGTACAATGTATATAGATGCATATGTATGTTATGAAGTTTCTGTCAGTCAACTGTCCATTGTCCTTGAACTCATTTTCATGGTTCAGTGATTACTTGAAAAAATAAAGATTTTTTGTAATGTTAGTTTCTCTCATAATTTCTCTCTTATTAAATATTATTTATAGTATTCATGGTAATAGGATATTTATATTTACTTAGTATGTGGGTACCTTGCAAGGTCCTAGTGTCTGTCTACTCTGTCAGAAAGTTTTCATGGTCAAGTCAATATCTCAGGTATTATAAGCAATAAGTCTACTATATTTGGTGTATGGAATTATTTTAAGGTGTAGATGTCCAACTGGTAGTTGTAATCTGGCCTTGACCTCATTTTAATGGTTCAGTAATAAGTTTTTATGTTTTGGTCTAATTTTGGATACTATAAGCATTCAGTAAATTATATTTGGTGTATGGAATGTTTGTAAGGTGTACTGATCTAAAATTGAGAATGGAAATGGGGAATGTGTCAAAGAGACAACAACCCGACCAAAGAGCAAAAAACAGCCAAAGGCCACCAATGGGTCTGACAGTAATCACCTGAACTTGACCTCATCTTCATGGTTCATTGGATATTTTTTTCTTGCTTAGTCTGTTTTCCAGATACTATAAAGTAAAAGTGAACTATAATTGGTTTCTGGAATGATTGTAAATTGAAATTGTAAGGTGATTGGGTTTAACTTTACATTTATCTTGCAGGCTTCATCTGACCTTAACCTTATTTTCATTGTTCATTGGTCAATATTAAATTTCTCTTGATTTGGTCTTTTTTTTAGATACTAAAAGTATAGGTGAACTACTTTATGTTTATGGAATGATTGTAAGGTGTTTATATTTGTCTTGCAGATACAATTCTTGCCAGATTTTTGGAAAATGGCCTCGTAAATGCTCTCATTTTTTTATTAAACTTATACATGTAGTATACTATTATAGTAATGCCCTTGAAGGTCGGTTTGAAATATTTAGTATACAAGAAAAAGAACTTTTTTTCCCCCAAGCACATTTTTATTTATAAATATTTTTGAGAACAAAAATAAAATTGAGAATGGAAATGGGGAATATGTCAAAGAGACAACAACCTGACCAAAGAGCAAAAAAATATGTTTTTTTTTTTAATATTGCCCCTTGATAGATAAAAAATGTACGACTAGGTGGACATTGAAACTCTGTTCTTTTATTTTTACTTGCAGGAACTGAAAAGTAAAGAAACAGAACCAAAGAACATTAATTTTAGATTAATACAATATTGAACTCAAAGTCAATTTAGTTGTCTTTCTTAATCATACAGGATATTTCCAAAAAAGCAGCTGCATACACATGCACCAGTAATAGCCAGCAGTGAAGACAATTAAATATCTGTGTATGGTGATATAGCAATAGAAATATCACATACATCATAGGAAAATAGAAATGGAGTATGTCAAAGAGACACACATAATGACATATGAAAATAGAATATAGACAATAGAAATGGAGTATGTCAAAGAGACACACATATGAAAATAGAATATAGACAATAGAAATGGAGTATGTCAAAGAGACACACATATGAAAATAGAATATAGACAATAGAAATGGGGTATGTCAAAGAGACACACATATGAAAACAGAATATAGACAATTAAATTGGGGTATGTCAAAGAGACAAACATGAAAATAGAATATAGACAATAGAAATAGGGTATATCAAAGAGACAAACATATGAAAATAGAATATAGACAATATAATTTGGGTATGACAAAGAGACAAAAATATTAAAAATAGAATACAGACAAAAGAAATGGGGTATGCCAAAGAGACAAACATATGAAAATAGAATATAGACAATAGAAATGGTGAATGTCGAAGAGACAAACAAACCAAAATAGAATATACTAGACAATAGAAATGTGGTATGTCAAAAAGACAAAAATATGAAAATAGAAGAGACAAGAAGTAAATAAAAAAAAATTCTACTTGATATAAAAATTATGGAGCACTGTTATTTTTCTGCATAAAAGAATGCCTGTATACAGTTGTTTTTTATTTGTTTGAGCTTTTGATTTTGCCATGTAATTTCTGTGGAGTTTGGTATTTTGGGTTATTTACTTTTTAAAGCAACAACTCATCACAATGAAGTATTTACACTCAAAATGAGTTCCTGACAGAAAAAAAGATAACAAAGAAAAACATATTAAAACATCAAAACATAACTCTAAAAAACCTACCGCAAAAAAAAAATACATATATATACAAACCATGTTTAGAATCTATGAGAAAATAAATGCATTTGAACAATTAAAAACATATAAAAAATATATATTTAGGACCAAGATAAAATCATATGAAAACATATGTTTGGGCCAAACATATGAAAACATATGTTTAGGACAAACATATGAAAACATATGTTTAGGCCAGGTATGAAAACATATGAAAAACATATGTTTTCCATATGTTTACATGTATGAAAAACATATGTTTTTCATATGATTTTAAAAACATATGTTTTTCATATGTTTTCCATATGTTTTTCATATGTTTGAAAACATATGTTTTCATGTCGGGCCTAAAAATATGTTTACATATGTTTTCAAACACATGAAAAACATATGTTAAACATATGAAAACATATGGTGCAATTTTTCCTATGTACCAGGACAGGAAAAGGAAAAGAATGTTATATTCGTGCACTATTATACATTTGAACATAAATTTATGTCAACTGGAGTGGTTTTTTTATCATGTGTTCACCACCGCCTGATTCCGCAAAGTCGATCTAAAGAGTAGAATCTTACTATCTTATCTTTAATGGATATCTGTGCACGCTTGGGTTCTATTTGTGATATTATATTATTTTAATCTTTATCTTAACATCGTCATTCTTTTCACTATCGAGTGGTTTTCTGCATTTATAGTACACGGAGATATTAGTTTCATTCAGGTGCAAATTTTATTTTTTTTTTCTTCAAAAGATTAATTTGAACTATGTTGATCGAAACAAACAAACACTTGCAATTTTTATCTTTAACAGATTGCCGTACACGCTTTGCTTTGATTCGGTTTGTTTTGTCTATTTCATTTTAATATTCATGAAAAGAATTGCAGTGCGCTTTCATCAGTAAAAGTAAAATGCAAATTTTTCTTTCAGGTGCATTTTATATCGTTTATCATCTTTAAAAGATTAACTTGAATTACCTCGATCAAGAGAGAAATAAAACTTGCTACTTCACCCTCCAGGCTTCGATTTTTTGTTGTTGTTATTTTGGGTTATTTTAAACTCTTTATTTTCATTATGTAGTCAGTGTTCTGTGCTGATCGTAATCATAGATAATTTTCAAATTAGTAAAAACATGTTTGTTAGGAAGAATTTACATTAAATAACGTCGTTGAAAAGAAACAGAAACTTCAAGCTTTTTCTTTATTGGTTTTCTCTGCATGCTTTAATTTGATTTGATTTGATCTAAACATCGTTGTTTTCCTCCACCCACAGTGAGTTTCCTTCACTAAAAGCAAATATAGATACCAGTTTCATCTGTCGTGACTTATGGACTGATTTTTCAAATCCAATAGCCCACTATTAATTGAATATCACTTATGTTCTTATTATTTCTAATTCATAGTCGGCTATCTGCTCACCCTTCCGCAGAAGTTGAATTCACCTCTTGTTTTTTTATTGGGTTCGTGTTGCTCAGTCAGTAGTTTTCAAGTTGTGGTTTGTATACTGTTGTTTGTCTTTTAATCTAATTCGTGATTTTTTGCTATGGCATTGTCAGTTTGTTTTCGATTTATGAGTTTGCAATTTTCCTTTGATACTCTTTTAAACAGATTTTTTTTCAAATGAAATTTAAAATTACCGGACATTCAAAATTAAATGTAAACACTGATTATTACGATAATTTGTTCATGCATTTTATATTTCTTCTACAAATCAATAGATTGATCTACAAGTTTTAATTGACTGTACCTTTTGAAGTAAACTTGATACATCAATGCAAAATATTTTCAAATTTATTGATAAACAGATTCTGTGAAAATGGTCAATCACACAGAGTAAACATTTTATTGCACAAAGAATTTCGCTAATGAAGGTGGTATGAAGGTTTTCCGTCATCTTGGATTGTAACATAGGGAAAACAATCTGTCTAGAAGTTAAAATAGGTCAGGAAGTTTCGATGCAGGAATGCAGATTACTTATTCGAATTTTCATTCAAATGAATTAATTGATATAATCTGAGGTTAGTATCAATCATATTTTGCGTATTAAGGGAAGATACGTCAGAAAAAGTATAATTTACAAAAGGAATCATCAGGATTTTTTTTCTTTTTTATGTTAAAGCAGAAAAAACGTACGGAGATACATTTTTTTTTCATTTTGATATTATGAAACCATTTTATAACAGTTATCTTCTCATATTTCATTCAAAAATTATATCATATAGAATAACTTTCATTCACATTAAGAGTTTCTTTCTCTGAATAATCCATACAAAAAGTCTGTACATTTTTCACAACCCATAGCTTGACAAAGTATGAAAATTCGATCATTTTTTTGTTGATTCTCCCATAACATCTTGATACAATTAACAAATTGCGCTGTTGTATTTTACTCCAATATAGCAATACAAATGTTGTATTTCGTTAACGAACATAAATGTGTCTCCTTTTAGCAATGATACTTGTTATCCCTCAAACATAAACCTTATCTGATCTTGAACATGTTGAAACACAATCTCTTCTTTGTAACGCCTCAATTAAAAACGAAACCTTTTTCATTCAATATCATTGTGATACGGTAATTAATTATGTTTTTCACACTTTATTAAACTGAATATATACTGTCAAATGTACCTTTTAAAAATGTTTATGATAGCACTATGTAAATACAGCTGTGTCACAAAAAACGTCTTTTATATATTCAATATTCATAGATATTTTGTTTGATTTATTTACTGGTTTCCATATATGATTTCCATATTTCATTTCAAAGAGATTCAACTTAGATTTTAAAAATATAGATAAGGATAGAAGTCATAAGTTCCTGAGATATAAATATTGAAGATTTGCCACACAGCCCTATGTTTAGACCTTTGCAAAAAAATTAGTGTTCATATAAACTTTCCATTCTAAAATATACTTTTACTAAACTTCATAGTTAATGTTCTAGCCGTCAAAGGAATTCTTATTAGGACAGGATTGGCATTTGCAAAATGATGTTGTAATTTTATGAACAATTCAATGAGGTATACTGTTAAATTTGGTTTTTACCTCCCTTGCAGTCAGAAATAAAGGAAAATTTTGGGTTGTTTATATTAACTTTAAGTCTATAAATAGATCACATTTTGTCATTAACTGTATTTTTCATCCTTAAAAGCGAAAAAACTATTTAGAGTGATTGAAATGTGATAAATGCAATTCAAAGTTATGTTATACCTATTTCAAATAAAGAAATACTTGGCATGAGTCAAGTTTTACCCTTTCCAATACTACAGTAAAATTTTCACACAGCATTTCATTGCATATAAGAAAAAAGCTATCACCAGAAGTAAACCAACCGATTTCTCCTCACTGTTTTTCCTGTTTACAAGCTTTCGTAACCATGTTAGTTCAAGTTCCCAAAATGTTTTATTTGAATACCAAATAAAAAAAAAGATAAGTGCTTTGACACACCCAAGATACGTTCTTATGACTTAGAAAAAAAATGTTCTGCAAGGAAATGCAGGGTTTGTATCCTACAACTGTTAATTTCAAGAGAATGTCTTTTTGTCGACTCTTTTTCGTTGAAGCCGGATGTAACGTACCATGATTTGGTGGTATGACACCTAATTTTATTTTATTATTTTTTGCAATCATTCTGCGGTATGGTCTCGTTGTGGAAATGTCGTCGGTATATTTAGAGAATTCGTTAGAATATAACGAACAAATATCATGAAGATAATGGTAAGCGGTGTTGAAATTATCAATTAAATGAAATTGAGACTGGTTTTTGTTGAATTTGACCATAAACTGATTTATTACAATACAGGAGCAAATCTGACATTAAAGGGGCACAGATTGTGACCATAGGAGTACCTACAAACTGTCAATAATCCTTAATGCGGAAATGTACATAGATGTTATCAAGGAAAAAATACACAGCTTTAAGTATCTCATCGAACATCTATTAAATATATCTAGCATATTTAATATTCTCATTGGTATTCGAATATATACACAATTCATACCTTTTTCTGCATAAAAATAACGAAAAGTGACCAGAATATTTCCTTTTTCACCATTTTGTTTTTTACAAACAAACAAAAAAAAAATCATGAAAGATCATCTTGATTTACATCATGACACTGTTTGTTATCTATTCTTGTTAAGGATGATATTCTGGTCTTTTTTCAGAAAGTTCTCACCCTCTCAGTCTTGAACGATATTGGGGTCCCTCGTAATACCATGGCCAGAGGAATCAATGAAAAAATTCCGAGATTCACGATGTCCGATGTAACTAAAACTTACACTTTTAAAAAATGGGATTTTATGTGTATACAAAATACGTATTTTCCCCAAATGAAGGTATACAGTTGTTCAATAGTACAGTCATTGGCTTTAGTAGATAAGTGCTTACCCTTCCGGAGCACCTGAGATCACCCCCAGTTTTTGGTGGGGTTCGTGTTGTTAATCTATGGTTTTCTATGTTGTGTCATCTGAGCTATTGTTTGTCTGTTGGTCTTTTTTATTTTTGGCCATGGCGTTGTCAGTTTGTTTTCGATCTATGAGTTTGACTGTCCCTCTGGTATCTTTCGTCCCTCTTTGATAATACCAATCAAATTTTTTTTTTAATATATCATTGACTACGATAATTTGAGAAAATTTCGTTAATGATAATCAAGTTTACTATATGGAGGAACAGTCTTAGAAAGACCAACAGCTGTAATTATACGCGTACATTCATAGAGTGAAGTTAACGATACTCAGGAATAGTCTTTTAAGACAAACAGCGTTAATTATACGCGTTCATTCATAGAGTGGGCTTACAAACCATA